GGGTCTGAGGGACAGTGAACTGGTCCCCTGGTTAAAAAGTTTGAGGACCCTGAGTTACAGCCTCGGAAACCCACAGGGTCAGTTCTACGTTGTCCTATAGAGTTGCTGTGAGTCAGCATTGGCTCTATGGCAGTGAATGTGGTTTGGATTTTATCTGAAAGAAGTCCGCAAACAACATGACTTCAGCCCTAAAAGCTTGAGGAAGCCTCTCTTAAGTAAAAAAGCATTTTCCTAATAACTGCAGTTGACAACAGTCATATTTAAGAAGATACGTGTTAAAACACTGTCTATTAACACCCATGTTCCATTTTTCCCAGATATATTAAAAATGTCCTTTACTTTTAAAAATCCTAAATCTTATCCATTTCACATTCACCTTTAATAAAGGCCAGTCCTCCTACTTATTGGGTTGTTTTGCCTATCATGACACTGATATAATGGGAAAGTCAAAATAAGTCATTTCCTGGATCAAGATGCTGCTAGAGTACAATCCCCGCACCCTCTGAGGCCACAGCTACAGCACCACACCTGCCACAGCTGTGGCTTGGGCTCTGGGCCCAGAGGTCAGATGGGATCCACAGTCTGAAGGGGACTGTTTAGGCCCCCCCTGTACCCACACAGGTTCCATTTTATAAGTGGTCCAACGTCAACTACCCTTTTTCTGTATGCTTTCCAAAGTGGGGTTTTTTCTTCTCCTCCATGTTTAATAAAAATAACTGCTCAGAGTTGATCTACCATTCCTACAAGCGGTAGAAACTTTGAGCAACCTAGGGTTTTTTGTTGTTTTGGTTTATTTTAAAGCTGTTTTTCTCTTTCTTTTAAATACACTTCCCAAAAGAGAAAAAAAACAAAAGAAAACATGTAAAACCACGAACAGATGCTGGCTACACGTTCAGTATGAGTGCTACGTAGGTGCACGCCCCACAGCCTCACAGCCACTGTCTATGCCTTCCTCAGTACTGGGGATGCGAACAATATTGTTTCACCCATGAAGCAACTACTGAGATTTTGTAAAGGGTTAATGTTCCACGGAACACAGTTTAGGGAACATTTGAAAATAAGTGAAAGAAAAAAAGCAAACTGTACTATTGTTTTGAGTGGAGCAATACTAAAAGTCTTTTTTTCAATTAACAACCATCTCATTTCCTTACTCAAACGAAGCTCACTGCCACAAGATGAAACTGCCCGTGTCCCTGTCTCCAGTTTCAGAGGCTATGAATCTTTACCAGGGCCAGACAGCTTCGTATTTCTCCAGCAGAGAGAGGCGGGTGGGTTTGAACTGCCCGCTTTCAAGTTATGAATCCAATGCTTACCTAACAGGCCACCAGGGCTCCTTTCTCAGGCCATTCAAATGATAATTTCTTAATTATCTAACCCTCATTAAAAAAAAACCTGTACGGATTAACAACCACAACACTCAACTCAAACAAATGAAATAACCTTTCCCAACTCTTATCCTTATTTTGTTCAGTACTGAGGTTTGAAACCAGGTCTGTTTTGTCTAGGCCTTGTGCTTAATTTCCTGTAAATTATTCTTCTAGGGCCTGTAACTACATGTACTACTTATAACCTTTTTGGGGGTAGTTACCATGCTCCCCCACGTCCCTCCAATGAGTAGTAAATAATAAGCATGTCTGTTTTCCTCTAGGCGTCAGGCGAGCGCCCTTCACCCTCAGGGTGTTTCCCGAGAGCATCCTTGCTGGGCTGAGAGCGGCAAGCTAATTAACCAATACGAAGGGAGGGCTTTTAGGGAAACCACTTCAGCCGCTTCAAATAACATTACATATCGTGCTACGGACCTTGCGTTGCATTGGGGCTGGACCTTGAGCATTTATTTATTCCAACGGGTTACCGATGTCCTCGGTTTCCCAGGAAGAAGAGCACCTGGGCTCTGGCCTCGCGGGCTCCTGCAGGCTGCGTTTCACCCGCACCTGGAAGCGCCAAGGCCGAAGCGGAGAACACACGCCTGGGGGAAAAGACCTGGAGAAAAGCAAAAGCTACCCAAAGGCTTTGCGCTGCCCGCGCCGCTTCACTTTCCCGAGAATTTCCGGGCGCCCAACCTTCCCCCCGGGTCGGCGGTGTCCCGCTCGCGCGCTCTTTACAGCTCGCCCGGAAGCTGGCCGTACAGCGGGAGCGCAGGCCACGCCCCTCACGCCGTGCGTCCCGGAGCGGCGCTGCGCCTGCGCGCCTCCTGGAGCGCGGGGTGGGACGGACCCGGCGGAAGGGGCGGGGCGCGGCTGCACTTCCGCGGACTCGGAGGGTGAGTATTGGGCGGGGGCTGAGCGTGGCAAAGGGTACTCAGGGCCTTGCTCCCGGAGTCTCGGGCTCGGTGGTGCGGAGGTACCGACCTGGGGGCGGGGGTCGCCCCCTGCAGGATTGGGGTGGGAGAGGAAGCGGAGGGTATTACTGATATGGATAATGTTGAGGGGGCATGATAGTGAGACAAGCTGGTGTCGGTGAGTCCAGTTCTTGTGTACCTTCTTTTTCCTTAAAAAGACATGCCCTGTAACTAATGTTCTAAATTTGCCATCATTGTAAACTTGATGAGCTGACAGCTTAGCAGCCCAACTCATGACCCACGGCGCCACCAAGGAACCTAACCAAACGGATCGCCTTGGAATCGACTGCGACCCACCGACTGGGTTTCCAAGACTTAACTCTTAACCGGAGTAGAAAGCCTCGTCTTCCTCCCCAGGAGTGGTTGGTGGTTTCGCATTGCTGACCTTGAGGATCACAGCCCAATGCGTAAACACCACCCCACCAGGGCACCTCTAAAGCTCCTTAGATACTGTCACAGAGGGAAAAACAAAATACCCGATAGTACCAAAGCGACACCTACCTCTACTGATTGGATTTTTATTTAAATCATTTTATTGGGGGCTCGTAAAATTCTTATCACAATCCATACATCCATCCATTGTGTGAAGCACATTTGTACATTTGTTGACATCATTATTTTCAAAACATTTGCTTTCTACTTTTTAGTACATGAAAGAGGAGTTTTGGGCTATTTCCAAAGGTAGATGTCACTTGAAGTTCGACCTCATATTTGCCTTTGACCCTATGAGGTGTTTTGTTTATTTTTAAAGGGAAAACTCACCTTATGTTTATTCTTTCCTGCTCTTGGTTTTAAAAGGAGCCCTGGTGGTCACAAGTTGGGCTGCTAATCACAAAGTCAGCTGTTCAAACCCACCAGCTGCTCTGGAGGAGAAAAATGAGGCTTCTGCAGACCCAGAAACCCACGGAGCAGATCTGCTGTGTCCTGTAGGGTCGCAACGAGTAAGAATCCACTCGGTGACACTGAATTATAGTTATAATGGTTTTAAAGGAACCCCAGTGGTGCGCTGGGTGGAGTGTTGGTCAGCTGTTCTGAGGGAGAAATGCAGTTTGGCAGTCTGCTTTGTAAAGATTCACAGCCTCAGAAACCTTATGGAACAGTTGTACCCTGTACTAGAGGGTAACTATAAGAACCCACCCTGTGGCAGTGGGTCTGGTTTTAAAAACCCTAACCTGAGCCTTTTGTAGTACTGATCATGAGTCTGGTACAGGCAGGTGAGGCACTGGACATGGCAATGGCAGGGCAGAGGCAGTGGCTGCTGCTGGCCCTGGGCTGTTCTTACGGCTCAGGGTGGCAGAACAGTGGTGGACTGGATACATACCAGCCCTCTCCTCACTTGATTCTTCTCACCCCCTTCCTACCACCTCCCTCTCAGCTCCTGGTACTAGTTCCTCTGATCTCCTTTAGCAATAGCTGCAGCAGTATCTGCACAGACATCCAGAAATGGGATCCCATTGTATTTAAATGTGGTGCCCCCACAACATCCAAATCACATGATGACCTATTTTACAGACTATCATGGAGGCTGAACTAAGCATACCTTGTGCAAGTAGCATTTATACTGAAAGCTAAAAGTAGTACATCCAGATTCCGTTAAACACTATATTTGGACCTGGGCTGGGTCACTTTGCCAGCAGAGGATTTACTGACTTCAAATAATAAGTATTTCCTCATTAGCAAATGGAAAGAAGTCCAAGGCAAATGCATATGATAGAGTTTTCTTGTTTTAGTACTTTTTGGAACATTAATGTGTTAGTCTGGGTAGACTAGAGAAACAAATTCATAGACATGTGTATAAGGATGAGGTTTATATACAAGAGCAATTGAACATTGAAAACAGCCCAGTCCAGATCAAGTTCATAAGTCCTATATTAGCCTATATGTCTGACACCAATCTATAAATTCCTCTTCAGACTCACAAAACACATGCAATGACGCTGAATTCAGGAAGATCTCAGGCCAATGGGTGGGAAGTCTTGTAGATCCAGTGGCATTGTAAGCATCTCAGCACTGGCAGGGGTTTCCATGTAGCTTCTCCAGGTGCAGGGTCTGACTGCATCAGGGTAGGTCCATGTGGCTTCTCCTCAGGGATATCTTACAGGGAGTGAGCCGAGAGAGACAGTGTCTTCCACCTCCAAGGAGGAAAAACAGGAGTTCCCAGAATTCTCAGGAGAAGGCCATGCCCACACAGAGGCCTCATTGGCCATGATCCCTCTTAATCCACTCAACTCCCAAATTGACACCAGATTATGTAACTACCACAGTTATAGCTTAAGATATTTTGAAAAGCAAATTAAAACTTTCTTGATTCTAATGACTCCATGGCAGAGAGTTTTATGAGAAAACCAAAAGTTTCCTCTGGCTTCTGTGAGATGCTTAAATTGGTGGGGAGCGGGGTTG